ACTAAACACATTCGTTTGCGGCATTTCTTCATTCGGGAGTGCGTGACACGGGGAAACCTCAAGGTGCTGAAAGTGAAAGCAAATGAGCAGCTTGCAGATTTCCTGACGAAACCACTTTTCAAGCCAAGACTGAAAGAACTTTGCTTTCAAATAGGTTTGAAAAACGAGACGGGATGTTAAGAAGTGAAGACTTCTTGGTAGTTTTTCGATCTCTTTAGTGTTTTGTACCTACTTGACGTGTCTGTCATTCCTGTTTGTATCTGTCTTTATGTTTTGCTATTATACTTGTATTTTATACTTCCAATCCGAGCTTTGTCATTTCTTTAATATATATCAGGTACAATCGATATCAATGAATCAATATACCGCTTGACAAAACCGATATATCTATATTTATCGACATATTTTTTGAGTCTAAAGTAAATAAAAAAATCTTGTTTGTATAAACCTTGAGTATGTAAATAGAATACGTTTAATCATTAAGTTATTAAAAAAATCGGACTATAATTGGTAGCGACTACTGCCTGGCTACTATGGCTGTTACTACGTCATGTAAATTGGATCCTGTACGCGTACCATGACAAGCTCAAAAACGTTTTCTACACTCAAATGACACTTTCCTCGGGTGCGCCCATGCAATATCTCACTCTCGATTCGAGAAACTGATAATGTAGACAAAGTGTTTCTTGACTTTGTCATTTGTGTCCCTTACAACAAGATTTGATCAAGCTTTAATACTGGTCCTGGGCAGTGGCGGTTCCAAATGGTTGCAACCAAAATCATAATAATCTAATAAAGTTAAAAGTGTATCATAAATATAAATACAATGCAATATCAAGCTTCTGCCCCGGTTGGAAAATGTTGTCGATTCGATTAATCACGTTCGACGCAGGTTATGATCGTTATGATGTCTCGTAGGGATGGGCAAATGGGAAACATATCGATATTTTTTAAATGTATCGATAAATATTGTCAAAAATATATTGATATATCGATATTTGCTGCGTAATAAGCGATTATCTATAAATATTGTCAAAATATTCGAAATTTTAAAGCAAAAATACACCTGGTTGTTTTGTTATTTAAAATAGGTACATCGAGTTAAGAAAACAACATCAACACAACAAAAAATACATTATTTAAACAAATCAGTATTTGTCTGATATTAACATGAAGAGCACTCTCAGTGATACCAACCAAACCAACAAGTGGTTCTCTGCCTTTTCGGCTAAAATCGTCTGGCAGTTCATCATTTGCCAATCAACGTTTCGCAGAATTTTATTTCGCCGAATAATCATTTGCCAACTATATCACTTAGTTTTGTTTTATTTCCCAACTTAACTATTGCCAACTGTACGTTTGGTCTGGCTTTTATAATGACACTTTTCACAAGGCCAACTTTCAAGTAGCGAACGTTTCAGATAGAGTAATATTCATTTTTCTATTATAATTTTCTAAATCTAAATATTTATAATTATTTTTCTAATATTGCTAATATTTAAGTGCCCTGTGTAGTAAAGCGATTCGGTTCTGGCACTTCGCCGGCTGCTGCCGCAGCACGCTCGCTTCGCTCGCTCGGCTCGTGCGTTGTTGGTCGCAGTTCTAACCTAACCTAACCGATTTCTTTCGATTTCACCTCAACTACGTTCCGCACTTTGAAATTTTGCAAATGGTATATAAATTTTTGTTGTTATATGTACTTATTACAAGTTTTTATTTATTTCAGGCAAGTTCAAGACCAGGGTTTCGCCAAAAGATATGCAAGCGACATTCAGTTTAATAAAGAGGTGAAGTGTTTGTTAGCACTCAGTTTTCTTGAGGAATCTGAAATATACGTATATTTCGAAAGTATCTTAAAAAGTTTGAAAGATCCAGATAGGCAACAATTAGCGCATTGGTTCGAAAACAATTATGTACACGGAACATCAACCACACAACCTAAATATCAGCCTAGATTTTGGAGCTGCTATGAAACAAACAAGATGAATATACCACGAACACAGAACTCGGCCGAAGCCTGGCATAACAAAATAAACAATATTATTGATAAAAATCACCCAGGTGTTTATGAATTGATAAAACAATTAATAAAGGAAACCGTTGCCAACGAGGGGGAAATAGAAAATATATTAACAGGTGCCCCACCAGAACCCAAGAAAAAAAATACTTAGACAAAGACGAAAGAATCAACAGAATTCTTGAACACAAATCTTCATATTCACATGAAAAATTATTAATGTGCATTGCTGCTAAATTGAAGTGTTAATTTTTTTTGTAATTCTTTAATAAAAATTGCATATCAAAATTAGTTTATTTTATATCATAATATAAATGTACGAAAAGGGTACTGTTATACAGACGAAACGTTATTCGTCTAAAAGTTGTCTGGCCTAGTGAAGGATTTGATAAATGATAAGTGCCCGGAACGTGTTCTGTCATTACAATAATGAGCTTAACAATAATTCTACCAAATGAAACGTTGTCATACAAAAATTTGACAATCATTAGTTGTCAAAGTGAAAATCAGGCGAACCGTTGGTTGGCAAGTGATAATCCGCTAAACAATTTTCGGCGAGAAGGCAGGATACTCCAACAAGTCGTGTCATTGTCATAAAGAAACAAATCAAAAGACAAGCAGGTCATAAACTGTAATTTCTAAACTCATACAGCCTACTGCCTACCTACTCTTTTTAAATTTAAGACATACATGATGTGACATATGATCAGAACTTTAAAAAATATATCGATTAAGATACGTATTTGATACCTGAAAATAAATATCGAAAGCCGATATAATGCGGGAAATAATATAGCTGATTTATATGGATTTTTTTCAGAAAAAATATCTATATTTTGATATATCGATAGTTTTTGCCCAATTCTAATGTTCTGTGATCGTGAGTGATCACGGTTCAGGCTAGGGTTACCACCCGTACTTTATAATAAAGTATTGTACGTTATTTCAGACAATTGTACTCTATACTCTATAAGAAAAATAAAGTACACGAAATTATTATGTCGTATGATTTGATTTATTTGTGATTTTGAAGCTTAGTCGTAAGTATTTTTTCGTTAAACAAAATTTATCGATTAATACTGAACCAATAACTAAAAAGAAAATGTATTTTTAAGTTAAGTAATAAAGAAAAATAAATAATACTTTATTTTGATTCAATTTACTTTGTTTTTGTACCTATAATAACTAATGTACTTTATTTGGGGAAAAAAAGGTGGCAACCCTAGTTCAGGCATACACTACAGTTCAATACTAATCATACTAATCTATACCTATATAGGGTATGTTCCGATATACACTGCGACCACTGAACAGTATGACGTCAATTTAGTATACTGGAAGCCCGTTCCTTTATAGCTAGTTATACTGGTGACTTTTTAAAACGGAACGCAGTCCAGTATACTGTTAATCCTATTTTTTGGCGCCATTTTCAAATTTGTAAATGCAAGGTGAATATAAATATAAAGATTCCCTCTTTTCAAAAGAAAATTGGAAAATTGTATAAAAAAAATATTTATCAATTAAATCCATCTTATAAATAAACGTAAGTAATTCTTTTTGTTTATTTAGAAACTTATCATTTTCTGATTCTGTTTCGACTGATCACGTGATCAAAAGCACTGCGAGCACCTTACCTCGAAATCTCCAGTGCTCACAGTACAAATATGGCGGCAATTTATGACGTCATAAATTTTCCTAAGGTACTGTAGCAGTGTACTGGCAGTCCATAACGGAACGGATTTTTCAGCAGTAAGACCACTGCGCAGTGCTCGCAGTGTATATCGGAACATACCCATAGTTTGTGTAATCGAAAAAAAAGGCGGGAAAGTGGGCGCGTACATTTGAAATTTATTCAGGAAATTTTAAATTATTATTAAACTCTGTGCCAAGCGGCCCTTTTCTGTTATTAATCTTTCAACTAATTTATTTTTCAATGAATGAAGAAAGCGGCGGGAGGAATCCCGCCAATTCCAAAGTTGGAAAACGCAAATCTGAGAATATTGAAAACTGTCCCTCTCACAAACAGCTTGGGGCTCCAGGTACAATGACAGTCGAGGTAACATTCCACTCAGAATTGCTCCCACTTTGACTGATTCTATTACATATTTAAATTTCGAGTTTCAGGACATTGTGCATTGGACGAAGTTAAGCCCTTGTTTTTCATATAATTTTCAGTCTATGCTACGTAACATTCCTGTAACTTTGTCTCGTTTCGACTCTAAACTCGATTTTTATATGTTTTTAGATGAAAAAAGCGACTATATTAAAATTTACACCGATGGATCGAAAAGTAAATCTCGCACTAGTTTTGCTTTTTATGATTCTACAAACAAAGTTGGTAAAGTCTATTCTTGTGATACACATTTTTCAATATTTTCTGCTGAAGTTCTAGGTATGATCTATGCCTTAAAATATATTTCATGTAATTTAAATTTTCTAAATTCATCAAAATTTTTAATTCTTTGTGACTCAATGAGTGCACTTCAAGCTCTAGAACAAAAAAGTATAAATTCTAATAAAAATTACCTTCTTTATGAATTAAGACACTTAGTAGTATCATTACAAAACATTAATATTAAAATCGAGTTCTGCTGGGTTCCAGGACACTCTGGTATTTTTGGTAACGAGTTTGTAGATAAACTTGCACGTTCTGCTCCAAACATTATTACAATAAACGACTATAAAATTCCTTTATGTGATTTAATCACTTATTTGAAAGACAACATGATCAAAAGATGGTGTTTATCATTAGATAATTTTCGCGAAACTAAAGGTAAATGGCATGCCGAGATTGTACCTGTACCCAACACTACAGCTTGGTTTGAAAAATCAAAATACTTCGGTAGGCCGTTTATAACTAGCTTATGTAGATTAAGAATAGGTCACTGTAAATTTTCATCTCATCTTCATCGTCTTAGATTAAGTAACAACGCCATTTGTAAATATAGTAACTTCACAAATTGCGATCTTGATCATTTATTTTTTAATTGTCCATATTTCAATATACAACGCCTTCTGTTCATTGGTTTATTTTCTGAAACAATGCCTTCCAAAAATTTTCCTCTAAATGTAAAAGAGTTATTGAAGATACAAGAGATTTATTGTATTATTTATAATTTTTATGTCAATACTTTTGGTCCCTTATAACTTTAAATTTAGTGTACTTTGTTGTGTAGTGTAAAAGTTGTTCATGTTTTTTATTTTTATTGTTTGTTTTTCGTTTAATTTTACTGTAAGTTTATCATATTATTTAAGTTCATTGTGTTAGTTTGTCGTATAATTCTGTTAAGATTTTTTTTTTCACATTAATGTTTAAGCTGATGGTCAGTGTAGCTAAAGCATCAATAAAGAAAAAAAAAATTGTGTAATCTATGATGAATGAATGATGGCCTTCAAATTATATCAGTAGTTTGTGTTCAGACAAAGATTAGAATATTATACTGGAAATGTTCAGATTATAGTATAAACTGCTCTTGAAAGGAAAGTACTTAAATTTAATTTCTATGAAAATATGACTTTCAAAGTGACGTGTTTTAGTGTTTATTTTGGTAGATGACTTAATGATAGGTATAGATATTATTGTAGTTAAAAATTACTTCTATTGTTATCAAAATGTGTACGATACCACCAGCTCCACCATTACCGCCTCGGCCGCCACCAGTACTTTCTGATAATCATTCTCCAACAGAGTTGACTAAAATCGACAGCCAAAATCCATCATATGACTACTCAGGTCTTTGCGAATGGGCATCAGAGCAGCCCTGTTTGTGGGAAGTGTGTATTAAATATAACCTGTGTCTCAAAAGCGCACCATATCGGTATAAGTTTAACAATTGCAACTCTATTCTACAAGTTGGCCCTACCTGCGGATTAGCTGCTCTCTCAATGTTAGTTAAGGGAAAAGTGACAGCTGATAAAATTCTAAATATAGCGAAATTAGAGGGCTATAGTAACAATGGAGAAATGTTTAGCTGTATCAATATGGCCAAACTTGCAGAAAAGGTGTTCAGTTTAGCTGATTTTAATAATGTCAAATGTTATATAAGAAATGGTGGACTAGTAAGCAAAGAAATTATAGATAAAATGTTAGAAGGTGCAGTTTTATTAGTGCCGTATCCTTTTTATTTTCAATTACTTCTTATTGACTGTTGTAATGCTAATTGATTCAAATGCCACGTTGCAAATTTTACAAATTTCCTTATAAATATTTGCCTGGTAGTTGTATTAAACTAATACAGCGCTATGCATTAACATTTTTAGAGTTCATAAATTGGTTGATTTTTTTAAAATTTATCTTGTTTAGTCCAAAATTGTTTTTTGATTAATGAAATGCTTTAAGTACACATGGTGTTTAAATCATTTAGAATATTAAAGCTTGTTAAAAAAATAAAGAAAATTTGACTCTTGGATTATTTGGTCTTTAATTTGAATTTAAAATTTGCATTAACACATTAAAATTAGAGAGTGAAGAAACAATCAAAATTTTTAATATTTTATTTTTAGTGAGAAAATATTTATTTATAATTTAAATTTTTAATTGCCTTCATTTTTTTTATTCAGTTATGATGCAGATTGTAATCATTCACCATGCTTAAAAAATGGACACACTGCACACTGGGGTATAATTTGTGGAATTATCATCATCAAGGATGCAGGAGAATTCTATGATTCTTGTCAAAACAATATTTACGTAATAAGTCGACATGGCAAATCTAGGTTTTTAGCTGCATGGAGTTTAGCTGATCTTGCTAAAAGTAATAAGAATTTATGGGAATTTTCACCTAAAAGAGGCGACGATGGCTTAAAATACATATTACCAGAGGGAGGAATCGGTGGAAAGGAAGGTTTGAGAAATCAATTTTTAGTAATTGAAGGCTTGTAAATTAATGTTGTTATTTAATATAAGAATATTATAAATAGTTAACCATTTTACTTATTAGTTTAATTAAACTTATTTTACTGTAGATGTATTTTGTTTATAAAATTGTTATAAATAAAACATTTCAGATTTGAATGCAAAATTTTATTTGTACAATAAATACAAATTATAGTTGCAAATCAAGATAAAATCTCATAATCACTTCGCTTAATACATTCAAGAAATAAAATAATTCAATACAATTTTATGTGTGTGAATAAATTTTCCACATTTTATGTGGTCATCATATTAAAAACAGTCAATCTGCTAATAATTGACTTGAAATATATATATTTTTTTTTATTAAAATTTAATAATAATGAAATGTTTGTACTAAATTAAATAACTTAAATGAGCTTATTGAAGCAATCACTTTTTGCTTGGGTTAAACAAATAGGCTTGTGATGATTATCATGTTTTCTATATATTCCATAATATTGTTTCACACAATTTGATACAGAAACAACAACTTTTACTATTGTATAATTTCAATATTGTATGTATACATCTAATACAATATATTTTCAAATAAGTAAATTAGAATTGCCAAGATAGCAGATATGAGATCATTAACATAGACAATATAATTAATTTTAGAACATTAGTACCTCATCTGATTATTTATGTCAAATAATCCAACCAATAATTAAATAATCAAAATAAATTGTAGTATTTTGCTTTGCCCAATGTAGAGTATTCTACTTGCTCCTGTTTGAAAGAAACTTAATAATCATTTGAACATTATAAAAAAATAATAAAATATTTTAAATTACCAGTCAAAGTAATAATACAACATTACATTTTCTGAATAAACAATAGAATACATATGAAATATGCATTATGTAGTTTCAAAAAGTTTATAAATTAATGTCAGTAGGCTAGGCCCCTATATATTGTATTTACAGCATCTCTTTTGTGTTATTTTGTAATTATCATGGAATGACATAAAATACACAATTAAAAATTTAAATCCCGTGACTGTGTATAGGCCATTATTACCGTTTCTATTATTATTATTCAATGACTATCTGAAAAAATAGCACAGAAAGAAGGGTGCTGCTAGTAACTCAATGAGAGAGAGACTAGATCTAACATCTGTTAGTTGAGAATTAGAATTCATTTGAAGATTGTAATAACAATTTGTAGGAAGTCTATAGACAGACCACCTAACATGTTAAAATTTCTGTAATTTAAATATATATAATAATTTTAATGATTACAATTCAAAGTAACTAATGGAGTAAGGTTCTTTTATAAAAATTATATTGCAAACAATTCTACATTCATTTGATCAATCAATCTATACAGACGTCTGACACAAATAATAATGTTGTACATTATTATATTTTAAATCCATTCATTATAATAACCTATTATTATATTCACCGGAATCTTTAAAGTAAAAGAGATATAATTTAAAAGTACTTTATCTACATAACTCTATAATCAGGATAAAGGAGAATTTTGAAACTAAATTTTATAATTTAACACTTCCATAATAATACTCAATATGTGGTCGTTTAATTTTTTAGATATTTATACAAATAATATACTTCACTTTAAAAAAATAAAAATAAATTGTAAAACTGCAGTTTATAATGTAACAATTCATAAAAACAAGTAATGGATTTTAATATGCACTGTGTATGATATACAGAGTATAAATATTGGATAAGCCTCAATTAGCACTGACATCTATATTATGGTCTATATGAAAAGTTTGGCACAAGCTTTATTTTTTAAATTGAAGCAGTTGTAAACAAATACTTCGAAGGCCAGCAACATACCTACTAAACCTTTGTGCATGAGTTCTAGCAATAAAATTATGGGTTTTAAATTACATCATACTAACCAAATCATGATTTTTGTTGCGCATTTAGTATTAATTTTTGTGTTTGAATGAATATTTGCCTGAAACTATTGTATGTTTATTTTTTATATTGATTATAATTAATTAATTACATTTTACATTACATATATAACTATATAGCATTTAATAAATCTTTCCCTTCAAGATTTTATAATGTTCATGCATAACATTTTTGAGGTGTTATTAAAGTATCTTTATAATCACAAATAATCGGAATATTTGCTGAACTCGTGCACAAAATCATAATAAGAGAATAGTTTACATCGCCTACACATGTAATCGGAAACAATATACACAGATCTATAATCTAAATATTACACACATTTACTTGAGAATATAGTTATCCTATGATATTATGAGACAGTTGTTGGCTTTCTGGGTACCACTCAAGCATTACCATTTAGTTTTCAATTCGACAAGATACCCAGGAGACGATAAGGAATGCAATTCCGAGCCTACTACTGTAAGTTTACATGAGATTTATCAAGACAACTTGATAAATAGGAAAAATGACATTAACATTACCCAATATACTTTTATTGATATAAATAGGATATTTCATACATACAATAGTTTACTATTGTAACTAGGTAAATCATTTGTTTAGTAAATTGCTCAATAAATTATTATTATAGGGCAATATTGTTGTATATTCAAAAACTTCTCGTTATTACCTGTTTTATATAGCTTATTATATAGATTTCGTTCTATAAATGGAACATCGTAAAAGTCAATGGTAGTTCATACACATGAATATAATTGATAGTTGCCTTCTACGATTATAATATATCAATATTTATTTAGTAATTTATACCAAAAGAAAACCGAGACTGGTTCATAGTCTCCTGGGTTCGTGCCAGATATCAACTAACTTTTATAATATAATGGCCAAAATATAAATAAAAACATCTACTGGCTCGGAATAATTATCATAGAATTAGTGAAGGAGAATGTTGCAAATTATTCGCGTCTTATATTAAAAGTACTAGATATCATTAAAAAAGACTAAGCATATCGCTCCAAATATACGTAAAATTGAACGGAAGATATTTTTTGGATATCGATTATCTTATTAAAATAAAACAGCCTTATTCTAAACAGCTATGCTACGGAAACATCTAAACATACAAATACGCTAACTTTATCATATCAGCTGCGCTTATAAAAAATACAAAAGATAACTGCGGCATTACATTGTCTTAATTAGAAACAAAATAAACTGCATTCACGAATCACAGATTAAAAAAACGCGCTCAACATCCAGCACGAACCTACACTGATATGTGCCGACGAAATACTCCCAGAAATTCGGTTTTTACTACACCAATACATACAAACTAACTTACATACATATTGGAAATGTCACGAACCATTATTTTTCGATATATATTGAGTACATGAATAACTACAATATCGTAAATTAAATACATCGCTAACTATTATGAATGACTATTTGATGAGTAGTTAACGTGATATCGAACATTCATTATGCATATTGAATACACTTTCTATTCAAAAACACATCGTACGGATAGTTTTTTAGCTAATTTAATTTCTAAACTTCGACATATATTCAAAATACATAAAGACAATTTCGAATGTCTACGCGCTAATAAATCATGGCAGCTCGATAGCGTAATAAATAAACGATTAAACACAGTCGACTTAATGTCGAACTTTATACGGTTCAAAATGGCCGGGGACCGATCTTCGTTCGTCTGAACCGAGCAAGGCCGACATTTGCCGACCGAACGAGAGAAATGCCAATCCTCATCGGAGACCAAAGTTAGGTGGAACCGCGCCTCGATATGTTTATGGAAGGCGGGCGTCCATTTATAACTTGCCACCCATGTAAATCCGGTCACGCCGTCTCACCCACTGGAATATCTCGAGGTAGCGTCTGTCTACAAAAGCCGGAATAAGGATCGTTAAAGCTTACGTCTCGGCTGGTGCGAGAGGCGCGCCGCACGTCGCTACCGGGAAAGTCTTCACGTGCGTTTGCCATTGCGTCGACAGCTGGAAAAACTTCACGCCGTTCCATTCTGTGCCGTCAATGAAAACTGTTGGGGATAAAAGAAACGTTTATTATACAGGTAATATATGAAATAGGTGATAAAAACGTAATTATTATTTTAATTATCATGTATTTATTTATGTCAAATATATGTTGTTTTAATGGTGGATCTATACAGCCCGGCGATCACCTACTTTGTGTCGCAGACGATAACTGCGTTTTATTGATTCAGAACTTTATAGTCAAGCCGCCGAAAAAGTCGGCGAGCTGTGTAAGTAGACACAACATTAGAAACAATAGTGTATTCTACTTTCTTTTAAATAATACATGTAAGTGTTTATTTTAATTTTAAAAAGCCATAAAACAAATATTGTCGCAAAAATAAACGCGTTTTCTTGGATTAAAATTTAAACTTTTTTTTATACCCGAAAAAACGCTATCCGTCATATTCCTGACATCATTTTGATATACACACAAAACAAATGCAAAAATTAGAATATTAAAAGATGTCAATAAAACAAAAACAGACAAAATAACAATCGATTACGAAATAAAAAGATTAAAATAAGCTAAGAACAGCGCCATATTTGAATTTGATTTACAATTAATAGGTATATCTTTATGACTAATCTGACAGCTGTCGCCACAGTGACGTTACACAATGGCGGATCGTGTTTCAAGTCACGTGTCACACAGACATAAATATTTTAAGACTCAAAATCATGTTAATTACGATGTATATTTTAATATTTGTGCAATTTCGTGACTTCTTTTTTAACTACCGAAACTTCCCTAATATATCGTAGTAGCTCGTGTGGCGTAGTGGATAGGAGTGACAAAAGAAATTAACATCCCGAGCTATTATGTGCTTCGAAACGTTAAGCCGTTGGTCCCGGCTGCATTTGCAGTCGTTAATAACTCGCCATCCGCATTGGATCAGCGTGTAGGGTCATGTGTGTGCCCATCCTCCTTAACCATCTATAAGAGAGGCCTGAGCCCCTACCGTGGGAATGTAAAAGGGCTGATGATATATTTTAAAGAGGAACAAGGAGCACGGTGGAGCAGGAGGTAAGGCGTTCGGTCTGCGATGTGAAAGTTAAGTAACTTTAGCAACGGCCGGTGAGGAAAGCACGGAGTAGGCTTCGGAAGCCTAACATGGCTTGCCGTTACACCCGGCTGCATCTGCAGTCGTTACCACCCATCAATCCACACTGAACCCGCTTGGTGGATCATAGCCCATTCTCCCTATTTGATTCGATTCCAACCATAGGTAAGGCCTGCGCCCAAATAGTAGGCTGACGATTTCGTAAGAGAATTGAAATACATATGAACAATGAAACGTTCGATTCGATGAACGTTTCATTGTTCATATATAAAAAGTTTTTACAATGAAAAACGCTATGACAATCGCCTTCAATCATCGTTAAGTAAGATTCGAAGATAGCTCATTTTATGGCCTTTATAATATTCACTATACCTATGCACTTTTAGTCTTTGCTTTAGGAGTGCTTATTATAATCCTCAATTTTATATTGAACAGAAGTGACAGCTTGTATCTTATAAGTAAGAACATACAGACATTAAAATTCATAAATATGTAACAGAAACGGCAGTACCCTTGAGCGGTGAATTGTGCGAGCCCTTAGCAGAACAGATGAGTCGTGCGACGCCGTCTACAGTCTGTGTGCGCCCTACTTCCGCCTCTCCGGACTTCTCTTTCTTCTTCCCTAATCGCATTACTGAAACACCAATGTCATAATCAAATATGAATATAGGCGAACCAAAATATATAACGCAATTTTACATTCCAACTGAGACTGAGTACAAAAAATCAATACTTAAACATTAAAAAGGTAGTAAAAACTCCTGTATAAATAAATAAATGTCAGAAAAGGCTGTGTGGGATATGTTCTTTGCTTTTCTAAATAGGAAAATAATAAAAACCACATTCACGACGTGATGTAGGTTATTTTACTCAATGACCTATCTCAACATGTAGGTTATTTTTACTTATTTCATACCAAGAAATTAATTCTTAAAATAAAATCAGGATAAAAATTGATAATTATTTCAATAAAAAGGCTGATAATTGGTTTAAATATAATAACTACTCGAATGCGATTCGGTCCCTAAAACGACGGTTTGCTAAACTACCCAATGCGTAGCGGACCAAATTTCATCATAAGGTTGGAATGTGTGAATTCACAATTATATATTTTATTTATTTCCATATTTATGAGTCAAACCATAGAAACATTTGATTTTAATGCATTAATTTTTAAAGTAACTTTACAATTATCTCGAGTTTTAACAGTTATTAATAACCTCATAACATTATTTTTAAATTACGAATCTCCCTAACCTCCAAATAAAAAGACGATAAGATATTATTATATTTTAAGCAAAAACTAATTTAAATTATTATCACTAACGGTGGGTAGTGGCATCCTTAAAAAAAACATGTGACAGGTCAATCAATATGTGGAAAGTGTCGTGGTTGAGAAATGGCTTCATACCCTCACTTATGAAGAGATCGAGGAACTGTTGAATGGGTTTTTCTGAATTCCTTCTGTTTCCTTTGTATACCAATAACCAAAAACACAAAAACACACACACACACACACACACACACACACACATACACACACACGCACGCACGCACACAGTTTATTAATCTATTAATTAAGATAAATATAAAATTAAATATTAATGTATACTCAAAAATTAAATATTATAAGTTATAATTTTGTTCTGTTAACTCAAATAATTATTACAAATAATAATTATAATAATATAGTCGAATAAGGAACATAATCATTATTTACTACCTGGAGGTGGGCGCTAATGGTTGCACTTCAGTTTTCTTTTTAAACTACTGCGACTATTATCGTACACTATACTTTTGTTAAACTATTTGTATCAATAAATACATTTTTTTTTTTATTAAAGTGGACATGATTCTTTGGGTATGTTCCGATATACACTGCGACCACTGAACAGTATGACGTCAATTTAGTATACTGGAAGCCCGTTCCTTTATAGTTAGTCATACTGGTGACTTTTTAAAACGGAATGCAGTCCAGTATACTGTTAATCCTATTTTTGGCGCCATTTTCAAATTTGTTAATGCAAGGTGAATATAAATATAAAGATTCCCTCTTTTCAAAAGAAAATATTATAAAATTGGAAAATTGTATAAAAAAAATATTTATCAATTAAATCCATCTTATAATAAACGTAAGTATTTTATTTTATCTGTTTCGACTGATCACGTGGTCAAAAGCACTGCGAGCACCTTACCTCGAAACCTCCAGTGCTCACAGTACAAATATGGCGGCAATTCATGACGTCATAAATTTCCCTACGGTACTGTAGCAGTGTACTGGCAGTCCATAACGGAACGGATTTTTCAGCAGTAAGACCACTGCGCAGTGCTCGCAGTGTATATCGGAACATACCCTTTATGAATAATAAAATAAAATTAAACTGACTCTTTTGTTTCTTCTCCTTGGTAAGGTAAGTGATGCAGAGATGCGCGTTTTGTCTGGTGACGTGTAAAGCGCGGAACGACGCCTTTACCGTCACCTTGCCATCCGCGCCCTCTGTCTGTCGCCCCGGCACCTGTTAACAATTAAGCAGAATTTACTTTAAAAAACTAGTTGCATGAAACTACTTTCATTGCATTAATATGAGTAACAAAAAGAAATTTATGTCATCTGTCAGTCAGATAATTGAAAAATATTAGACACGTATTTATTTTACTTAAATTTCAGAAGAAATAGTTTAGATAAGGGATAGAGGGATGTGGTCTCGCTCCGTCACAGTTTTGTAGTTAATGAACGAAAGCGTGACGTCATGTACCATTTTAACTCAATGTATCTCCGTAATTTAATGTTTACGCAAAATATATAAAAAACAAAGAAAATATTGCCATCACGAAGTTCACGTGTAAACGTGCAGTTTCGCAATCCATGAATTTTCACAACACCAGAGCAGTTTCATGTGGTAAGCATAATGTTATGATACTAACGTCACGCTAATTTACCCACGATTTACATCGTGGAATTAGAATCGTGACCATTTGTGCATAATGAAGCTTTAATGTTGACTGAGTCAGTGTCTGATATATACTGTTGATTGCGCCATTACGTGTATTAAAATTAGTTTCGTGAAACTTGCACGACTAATTTCGTAATGTAAATTCGCCTTTAGGTTAAAGATAAAATTTATTTGCCTCCTTCGATTTGTACTGATCTATTATCAGCCTTAGATTAAAGAGAGAATTTGAATTTGTTGAATCAAGACATTTTGTTTAAACACTTCTTCAGTTTTCTCTTTAAAGTGACGCGGTTATATTAACACTGCGACGAAGCGACGATTTGCATAATTTGATTATTGTACTTCATTGAAGAGCCAATTGGTCGTACTACAACAAAACAAACAAAGTTAAAAACATAATTCTGACCAGCCAATAGTCGAGTTGTAGCTCTAGTGGTTCGGTGCGCGCGAGCAGTGGCGGCGCGAGGTCGGGCGCGGGCGCGGGGGTGGCGGGGGGCGAGGGTCGCGCGGGGGGAGACCCACCCTCCTCCAGCTCTAACGAAGACACGCCGCCCTCGCTGCATCCCACTCGCACCTCCTAACAAACGTAATTATTAAACATAAACATCTATTTCTAAGATTCAGTATCGTCAATAAAACATAGTAACTAAGATTTCTGAAAAAAAAAATTAAATTAAAAAATTGATTTATTATTTTGATTTCTTATTTTTTCACACGCACTACCACCATAAATGAACCAAATTTTGAACTGGTGGTAGATTACGGTAGCCAAGGGTAAATAAATAAGTCAAATGTATTATTGAAATAATTTTATTTAATCAATGTGGACATTGCCATATATATATATATATGTCGGCGGGTAGTCAGAGGGGTCTATTACGAAGGTCAAATAGATCGTCCTTATCGGAGGACTATCTTTAAAATAACACTGCAGGCGTATACCAACGTGGATTTGTTCCATTTTATCACTTTTCATACGAAAATATAACGAGATGAGCGTGATGTCGTCGGATGTCTTTACTCCTCGGCGTTTGGAAACAGAATGTCTAATAAAATTAAAAGTATCGATGATCACGCTCTCTCTACAATCGAGTGATTAAGTAATCGAGTAACTAGCAATTAAACTAAATCAAACTATCTTCGTAAAGATGATGCGACATATATATATATATATGTCGCATCATAGTATTGGTTTGAAGCTATACTCTTAATTAAAAAGACAATCAACACCTGAGTGTAAATCTGTCATCGACCTCCGTGTATGTACTGTAGGTATATCATAAGTCAAGACACTTGATTTTTTTGTCGATGTAATTAAGAATAAAAAAATAAACAAACGTAATGCACAAAACATTAAATTTTGTGTTTTCCTGTATATTGTTACTAGTTACTACTTTCCGCCGGTGACTTCGCCTGTAATTGTCGGTTATTATCGCTCTTCGTACAACACCCATTAAGCCATTTTTCGCGATCCAAACTATCCTACGTCCTTACTCAAGATCCACTCTATGTCAGTACCAAATTTGATTACATTGTTCAGTAGTTAAGGCGTGAAAATTTAACAGATACACACAGAGACAGTTATATTAGTATGGATGATTGTAAAACTCACCGCTATGAATGGTACAAAAGTCTGGCTGGCATCTTCGTCGCCTGATTTCTCTCTGTAGGCCACCATCGCTTCACCAATGGGAATGTTGTTTACTGGACCGATACTGTTCAAATACCTGCAATAAAAAGTAATTAATTAAAAATTAATTACGAATTAACAACTTCGCTTTTTAATTAATTATGAAAGAATTGTTAATTCTATTGTGCGTTTTACGCTCAACACACAAAATGGCCTCGTAATCAAACTTTTAATCCCATGGTTCTTTGTCTAGAACTATCACTGTGTTTCTGAGGGTAAAACAATTTATAATGGTGATGGTTGGGAAAATAGAAAACTAAAGGGAAAAGCACGTTAACCCATTGGTCTTGGCTACATGGCCCGTTCTCCTTATGATAGACGCTATATTTCACGCAATATTCGCTTCTTCGAAATTTGTTTCACTGACAATTGAAAATCTTTATTATTGAAACATGCCTTGCAATCCGGGACGACATCTCAGCAATATCGGCGACGTTGTCTGTGGCACGCTCGCATAGTGACGCCCACGTCTCGCCAAGGAACAACGCTGCGTATGTACTGTCCGTAGCACCAAGGTATCGGGCCACCGTGTTGGGACCTTACACAATGTTCACAGTTTTACTTTGTTGAATGAATAGACTATATCATGAGTTGGGACTTTACACAATGTTTACAGTTTAACTTTGTTGAATGAATAGACTATAACTTGCAACTCATGAGCCTAATTCCATAATATTTAATGGTCGAAGCCCTTTAAATTGAAATAAACTGACTTTAATTGAGAGATAGAAATTCAAAATCGTCTATGTTACATAAAATCTCGAATATAAATTAAAATAATTATAAAACAAAATCTATTAGTGGCTCTTTAAAAACTGTATAATTTTGTAAATTGTAGCTTTTGGCTTTTCCATATAAACTCAAAGTGGGCCCCATGAAGCATATGTTGAGGGGTTCACGGAAACATTTAAATAAATACCATCAATTCACCTATTCTGACAATAACACAATTGATGCCAAATTAAAAGTTAATTCCATATCTCACATTAGATAATTATTCGCAAACTTATTTGTCCACAAATGATTGGAGTTAAAGTAAAATATGGACGCAATTCATTATATGTAATTTATTTACATAAAACCAGATGTCATTATAGGATATTGTGTAAATTTGCTTTACCAAAAGAGTTTCTCACCAAAAGTACCTCTACAAGAAAAGCTTCAATTTCTAGAATGCGTTGGATTTGCTTGTTAAATAATTTGTTGCTAATAAATAATTTTCACATATATAAGATAAAAAATAATAAACTAAAATTTTGCGAAAACTAAACTGTTCAAAATATAATTAATCTCGATGGCTTTCTATGTGATGCCTAGGTAAAAAAAAGGAAAATCTATTTAATCCGTTCGACAGATTGATAATTAGATTTTTTTTTTTGCTTCAATTTAACAAAAAATGGCTTAGATAATAGGTATTAAACTGGGAGCTCACTAAGTCACAACTTTGTAGAAAATGTACAAAGATCGTCATGCGACATTTCAACTCAATGTATCTGATGTATGATGTAATGTATGAGAAATAAAAAAGTACGTGTTTAATATTCTTCAATAACGTACTGGACGGACATAAAAAAAATAATAATCATCATCCCTATTGGGAAATAAAACAATGTCATTATATGTACCGTATGGCACAATGTAGAACCGTATCTGCAGGGCGTCGTGCGGTCGCCGCGCTGCGAGATCCGCGTGTGCCCTCAACGCGCCAGCCACCGCGCCGTCGCTCCCGCAGATAACCGCGCGCACTACAGCGCGACGGGCCCCCCTAGTAAACAATATATCACACGTTAAAACACGCCAAACTACACTCGTTTTTTTAAGTATTAACACACATCGCGGCAGTATTTAAATCAGCACCTTGTGCTATCTGAGCAGCCGCCTCAACCACTTTGAATATACTTTTATATTTGTTTTTTGAATATTCTGTCAGCCCATGTTTCTCTAAAAAAAGTGTAAATTTTATTTATCAGTCTCGACTTCTACCTCTCTCCTATCTATATCTTGATTTGACTATGAAAAAAATACGAAGTTCCAAAAATACTACTGTTATCAAATCGTATCTCTCAAACCTAAAGTGAAAGCCATATCCTTTGCGTGATTTAGAAATCAAAGAGGATGTCAAAGTAAAACAACTGCATACTACGAAATGTATGTACTGACGGTTTAGCGGTGCGCGCGTAGAGTGCGTGCAGTAAATGCCTGGCGTCTGGCGCGTGGGGCCCGGAAACCACGCATGCGGCGCCCAGGGCCTGTATAGCGGCCGCTGGGGCCCCGGCCGGAGCCACGCCCACACACTCGGGCACCGGGCCCTCTTCGCCAACCGCACGCCACACCTGCTCTGATACACCGCGACGCGCCTGCACATACCAACCAACAGTTTTAACGGTGAAATCGTCTCCCACTCTCCTCCCACTATACAATACAAATGTTTACTCAATTGTTGCTATCGCCGAATTTTATTATTCATTTAGCAAGTTGCATAAACGATACAAATTTGACAATTATTAAAGCTTAAATTAAGGCGTCATTAAACCTTAATGGAAGTTTATGTAACTGATCGATCGTGTATCTAATTCATTATGTAAATATTATACCACTAAGAGGCATCCTGACGCTCTCGGCGGAGGGGTTGCGCCCAGTCGAACTCGAATTTGTCGATATGTATTCATATATATCATACTAGCGAAACAATAATCCAGTAATAGTTTTTTCTTAATCAAGACCAAAAAGAGAATAGAGAAAAATATAAATAGTAAAATTAATTTATTTTGTAATTGTAATGTAAACATAAATATCAAAGAGAGTGTTAGATTTCTTTCAATAGGGAAAAAAAATACATTTATTTTTTTACAACATTGCAGTATAAATTGCTTAAAATGGGGTTTTTAGTGTCAGAGACGTCATTATTTCGCATCATGTAAAATAAATACCCATTTACGGCCGGTTTCTGATTTGAGAAAAGCACAAAATCTCAACCTACTATTCTCAATAACTTAAGTTTTTAACGTTTCATATGGCAAAAAGTCTTAGATTTATTAAATTGCTTTCAACTGATCATTACAAAATTATAAATCAGTAATGAAAACCTGTTTAATTGACGTATAAAATAACTTTAGCACGACTTGAGACGTGCTTAACTTCAAATTCTCAATTCAGAAACCGGGCGTAAGACACAGTCGCAATCGAAATTAATTTATAAGTTTATTATCGAAATAATTTGATCTATATTATGTATATATTAGTAAAAGGCTATCATCTTCGTATTTGACCAACCTCCAAGGTGGTGGGGCTTTGCGCGGGCAGCTCGTGGGCAGAGAGCGGTCGTTCCGCTGCGGTTATCAAAGAGTTCTTCTTGCGGCCGGAGACCGCGCCTGGTGTTAAGTTACCGCCGCTCGTAGCACTGCGGAACAGACGCGATCGCTTGTCCTCCTGATGGTAATCAACCAGATTTATCATTTACAACAAATGAAACCTAGGTTATCTAGCTAATTTAAATAGAAAAAGACGAGTTCTGTCCTTGTTCATGCGACTCTAGCAGTTGGCTATGTTACAATGATATCGTGAATAGGTATATTTCTGTGCTAATCCAAATGAGATTTTAAACTATAATATTTGATCAATTTTGCATTCACAATGCTATGCTGAAGATATTCTTAATGAAAAATGCTTAAAAAATCCCCTTTGTCCCTGGCACTCTAAAGACGGGACTCGAACCCATGACCTTGCGCAATCCCAGCGACTGTTCTAACCTTCAAATTCAATCAAATATATAAAATATAAAAAATTGATTAAATATAATAATTAGAACAAATTTTCAATAAAAAAGCAATTTCTTCCGGGTGAGTAAGTTGAACTGTCACTTATAAGAATTTTTAACACCTTTGCTCGTAAAGCTGATGTAATTCCACCGGTTTTAAATATGTAAAGCGGGTCATAAAAAACGCGTGTGTTACCAAAGCAAATAGTTAAGTTATAGTCCATACAAATTCCATAACAGTATTATTTGCCATTTCGCGCGCTGTTGCTATTCAAATTTCGAACTAATCGCCGCGCGGCGCCAGTCAGTAAGTAGCGCTAGCGCGCTGTTAAAATGGCGGGAAAGTAACAGTGTACATTCACAGATTGAGTTTATTTAATGTCTTTTTTTCTGTTTCCTCGCAAATGTGTTAAAAAACGTCGTACGATATACGTGCGTATTGGTTATAACATGCTCGGCTCAATTACGCCCTCGCCTTCGGCTCGGGCTGAAATTCTGCCTAGCATGTCATAACGCATCATAACACACTAATATCGTAATGTACTATAACAACGCTTTTATAATGTCGACCTGTAGCTGAATTTTCATCACCACATCTATCAACAACTGAATGGCTGTTAGGAAGGATTGAAACATATGGATAAGACAATTTAATTCGCTTTGAATAAGTTTATTTGAGTTCAGAAAATATTTTGATTTTGACTGACCGTCGCCATCTTGTTCTCATTAGGGGGTGAGCTAGAGACTGAAGCGCCGGATACAGGAGCGTCGGCAGTCGCATCGCCGTCACTGTTGCCTTCACTGCCGCGCTCGTCGCCCGCAGAGCTGCGGATCGCTTCCGACTCTGCCGATACAGAGGGCAATACTAAACTGTTGTGAAAACAATCACACCTATAAAAAGTTTTGAAAACGGATATGAGGGATGACTATTTAATGCAGTCGTTTTATCATTTCGTAAGATTTTAAGGTAATTTTTCCCACCATTAACAATTAGCTAGAAACGCGGGAAATTAATGTATATAGTTCTTCTATCGCAAGCTTATGAGTTAGTGGCGATCACATTAAGGGAATGATGTATCAATCTTGATCAAGTGAAGAGAAAAGGAGAGACAGACAGAAAGAATTTATTTGCCGACAATGTTGACAGAAGTTATCAAGTATATAATGTCCCTTAAGAATACGCAATATATCTCTTTTATTAATAGAATCATTGCGTTCAGTAATATGATGCGATAGAAAAAAATTGAAGCTCGTATTGTAATTATCTATAATATAATTTGAATGAAGATAGGTACATAAGTAAATCTGAAATAAATCAAACAGAATAGTATTAAATAATAAAGAATTTAAACTTAAATATACAGTAAGTTTCATGCAAACCGTGCCTCTAAGTCCACATGATGAAACCGAGATACTCATTTTCATGATTTAACGACGATGCATAAGTAGGTGAACAGGTGATCGTTCGGTGTAAAAGTATCCCGTTTTCAATCAGAATGGTTTGAAGATGAAATAGTGTAAAAATAAAACAAAAGACAGACAAAAGCTTAGTTCACACTAGTGATAATATTTTAAGTACTATTGGCCAATATTCCAAGTAAGTTTCTCTGAATTAAAGACCAATATTTTTCTTGTAAACAAAGATGGCAGCGAAGGAAGTTCAACATGCTTATTTAAAGTTATCGAAATCCGACTCTTTATTTAACTGCTAAACCAAGCCTCTGTAGTATTATAATATTGCTCGGTTAGTATGAAACTTGAGTATGCAATCACTCCTGTCTTCGTGACACTGTTTGATTGCCACCATTTTTATTTACAATATATTCGCCCGTTTCGTGGCAATACCTGTGAGCGGGACGGTGCCGATGTGCCGTTCACGTACCGCGCTCAGCTCGCTGGCGGACGCGAGGCTGGCGTGCCGCGTCACTGCGCATGCGGTACCTTTATGGCGCGTGTGTGTCACGTGGCTTATGGCGATCGTGTTTTTTTTTTCTTAATTCACGCAAAAGGATATTTTTGTGCAGCGAAATTATTTTCAAATTAAAATAAAAACTCAATACGCTAGTCGGTCAAAAGAGACTCGTTAAAACATATTAATAATAATGCGAACGAAAGAAACATGAGTGTTCCTAGGTTCCATGTCATTTAGTATTTAAGTGATTACTCTGTAAAAATCTCAGAAACTTGACACTATGCAAAAATTATTTTATGAGATTATCTATCTCAAACTAAAGAGTTATTCGTATTTATAGTGAGTTCATCAGATCCCAAGAATTTATTTATTTATACCGTCATTAGCGGTGTTTTAAGCGAATGTTGTTTATTATTAAAATTTCCTAACTGCACTATAGAGTAGCCCTTTCGCTAGTATTTCGTTCGTCAAGCCTCGTCACACGTCATGCACTACACTATGCACACAGCGTTACGTAACAAAAACACAAATGAACAAATTTAAATGTCGTGTATGATTAATGTATGTTATTACTGTATCATATTCATAATGTATGTAATGCAAAACAAAAGTTAAGCGTTCACACGATGCACTTTGTCATATATGCATTTGATGCTCAAGCGTATTAATATTATTATCCTTATTATATTTTATCATATATTTGTGTACATTTCCTAATGTTACTCTATAAAAATATACAAAGAATTTTAATGATACGTCTTTATATGTTCGCTCCTGGTCTTTTAAATTAAATATAGATATGTAATTAAAATAAAAGTTATTATCAAAACAAAAGTGTTTATTTTTCTTTAACACCATTAAGAGATAAAAATTAAATGATAAAAAATAAGTATAAACGAAAAGAAGCGTAAATTTTGAATATAAAAAATAAAACTGCCAACGAATTGACCTAACATATTCAACATTATTCTACCGACATATTCAAAAGCTAGACCAGGAGCCGTCCAAGCAAACGATGTCGTTTGTGTCGATTCTTTTCTGGTTTCTTCTAGTAGTGTTACCGTTGGAATGCCTGTGATGTTCCTGATTGGCGAGACTGCGAGAGCTGCTGAAGAAAGGCCTCAGCGAGGGTTTGGGCGTGGAGCCAATGCTGATAGTATCCATCTGGTCCGGCCCAGAGTCATCGCCTTCCCCGCACGAAAGAGACTCCAATTCCTAAAGTCAACACATAAGGATGAGGTTTCCTAAAAAGTGACTGTAAAAAAGAAGTCGCAGTAGAAAGAAGTTATCACAATAATTAAGTTAATAAGATCGCACTAGTTGCGTGAGTATAATCCTTCCCTCTGTCCACTATTATCGGCAACCTCACCTATTAGACGGAGAGTTCGTGACAAAAATGTGCAAGAGCTTACTAAAGCTTTATATTTCCTGGTGGTGGTGATGCGAAACAAACTTGTACCGATTGCTGAATAAGTTTCTTCCATTATATGAAACTAGAAAAAGAGAGCAAATATAAGCTCAATTGTACGAGCCTTATCTGGACACTGCAAATTAAACAGACACCTATTTAACATGAAACTAAGTGACACTGACATTTGCAGATATTGCAAACAGGAACGTGAAACACCAAAACATCTCCTGTGTGAATGTGGACCACTAATCCACAAACGAAGCATACATCTGGGACGACATATAATCAGCCCAGAAGATATAAAATCTCTAAAAGCCAGGAATATAATAGACGTTTTGAAGTCTACCGGGCTAAAGGCGTTACTATAGATCTGTCACAATAGATCTTCAAGGTCGCAGTGACTACAGTTCCTCAGGGAACTGCATAGCCCCTTACAGCAATAAATAATAATAATTATATGAAACTCTGCTTATTTTTAACAACAACCTACTAATAACTTAGTAATAGATTAAGTAATAAACATCACGAAATTCTTTTACGGAGTTCATTTTCACATTAACTTCTGTGTAATCGACAGCAAGAAACAGAGGACTGTATATAATTAAATAATATAACTTTTAGCACAGAGAGACATTTATTAATCAACGTACAAAAAGCAAGATACATTGACAAAGTCAAAAAAATATAAATTAAAAACAAGTATAAAAACCTACTTAAAGAGGCCAGTAATAATATTTCAAAAGCATGGTAAGGCTGTCGGCAACATTCTGAGACCAGTTGAAACGCTGCGTTTCACGATTGTGCAATCTGAGCAATTTAGTTTACTTTTGTATATTAAGAATAAGTTTTTCGCTTATTTTAAAATATTTAGAAGTACGTTTCATGTTATGATTTTTCGTACTTTACATTGCCCCGCTCGCCATCAGATGTTCTAGCACCTAACCTCCGCACTGGATGCTGAGTGATGTATATATATCTTTAGTACTTCAACATACTGAAATATCTAGCTTTAGAATTGCTCTTGCACATTTTTGTCACGATCTCTTAGGCTATACAGATACCTGGAAGAGTTCATCGATGTCGCGTTGCGCATTGTGAGTATCACGAGCCGCCCCCCTCTCGCCCAACTCCTCGGGCACACGGAACCGCCGCAGCAGCGCTGCAAACTTCTGCTTCAAATTGCGTTGCTGTAATATAACAAGCATAGCGTCAAAATGTAATTATGATTAACTTTGATAAGTCTAACATTATGAATATGATAAATCGCATTAGAGACAAAATCAGTACCTATACCAGGGCTCAATGTTCGCACTAGACCGTGTTTCAAAGTCATAATAAATTTTTTATTACTTTTAGTATATTTGCTCATATTTATTTAAAATAAGCTTGAGCGGTGTAAAGTGCACGAAATTTTCGGTTTTATATTCTATGTTTAAGCTCGTGCATTTGAAACTGTTAAATAATGCTTTTATTTTTCTACTGAAATTAATATTTGTGTCTATAATTTTGTAACTATGGTTATATAGTATACAAAACTAAACTCATTATAAACATATGCTCTTTTCAATATCTGAACACCTTCCGTTACTGGAACAACAATCTATTCATTCATTTTCTGCAGTAATGTAAACTAGTTATTATTGACCATCAAGGATTAAAATCCTTGTCGCGACACTAAATATAAAAATTAATTATCTTTGTTTTGATAAAAAAGATAAGTAATTATTTTTAAAAGCACACACTAGAATATTGATCATGTGACTTATAGGTTTAATCTTATTTTATTATTGGTTATGTAACGATTTCGATAACTATCTTAATAGTTACATAATTAGATAATATCGTAGCTTTCTGATGGAACTAAATAGGGAGGAATGGGCATAACACACCACGTGGACCTAGTGAGAACTAGTGGACGTTAACGCCGGCAGATGCAGATGATTTGGATGAGATTCTGCCCATTAAAACCAATTCTAAATATCTATTTGTTCGTACACACTTTAATAATCATCATAAAACAACTATTATATTTTGATTAATTTTGCATTCACAATGCCATACTGAAAATTATTCTTAATACAAAATTCCCATCTCAGGGTGCCAGGGACCAAGTGGATTTTGTAAGCATTTTGTATTAAGAATAAAACAACTAGACGAAAGGTTTACGAAGATTTAAAATTGAGAAAAAAGAAATTCAGTTATTACTATATAAAATAATAACTGAATTTCTTTTTTCTCAATTTTAAATCTTCGTAAGAATTATGTTAGATAGAATGTATATAAAACACATACAACACGAAAAAAAAACCCAATGTTACAGTAATTACACTGATAATTTAGTAAAACACTGTAAATTTTTTTACCATACAGTTTCCACAAAAACACCGTGACAACACAAAGCATACCGTATTAATATTTTAAATACATATAATAAACAATACCACAAAACGTTTTACCTTCATCGGACGGTGCACTAAATAAGAGCTAAGATTGCGCACGGGACAATCTAATCGGGCTGATAAGCTACCAAACAATTACTGACGAGATTGGCGTGACATAACTGCGAGCCTACCTCGCTAGTGTTAGTGCAGCGACGAAGCTAGGGGGGGGCAGGAGTAGGGTTACCAAAACTTCATTAAAATTTTGGGACATAGAGATTAAAAATACATATAATATATATTCTATTATAGTAAAAAAATCATTTCAACCGGGTGTCGTGTAACCCTTATTAGACCTTGTGATTTCAACAAATAACCGATTTGCAGATATTTGTTGTTGTTAACAAGACAGAAGGTTAACACGAAATGACTTATCTTTTTTCCTACACCCACGCTAGATACATCACTGTGTTAGTATATGTAACTGTTACATAACATGCTGTTCATTCTAAAATAAAGAATACATAGTTCGTCTGGTCAATCAAGCTTGCAATTGGTTAAATTCGTTATTAATCAAATTTTTGACTAACTGGCAATCAATCGCGTTTAAACAGAAATGTTATTTATATCAGACCGTTCTGAGTACTCGGTGCGGCGTAACATAAATTCTTTCAGTAGAAAATATGTAAAAATAAATTATTATTGAATATTAATGATGCCTGATGGTAATTTTGAAACTTACTTAGGTAATTTTTCTTGAAAAAATATGTACATCCAAGTTCTCAGCAATTTGTTAATTAATTATTATTTAGAACTCATAATTCTTTTTGATGGTAATTTAATTATGTTCAACTAAATTTCATTATCAAGTCTGTTAAAAACATATTTTTAAAAATAGAAATCTATGAATTAATACACAAAAATTACCAAAACAAGGCTTCTTTGTGTATTTGCTTTATAAAGATATATTTGCTTTATATTTGTTTTATTTCACACTTACAAAAATCTGTACAATATTATTTTAAATAGGTACATAACATAATTTAATAAACCCTGTATATAAACATTTTCTAAATCTAGTTTACGTAAACGGTTAATAATTGGATAATGGGCCTTCTACAATTTATTTTTTTGTAAAAAAATAAAATCAGTAAGATCAAAGTGGAAAAATACATGCATAATTCATTCCTAGTTACAGAGAACAGAACCAATAAAGAAGGTACATTATAGGCCAAATAAATTTTTTAACAAAATATGATCCGCTGTCCAAGGGTCGGTGCATACATAAATGACATTCAACTTCAAACTAACGCATACTTCCATGAGAAGCTTGACGGATTTTCCGTCAGATTTGCACCGACCCTTAATGAGAACGTTTAAATATAAGAAAGAAATTCATGAATATTGTGTCTAGAAAATAAATGAAACATTGGCTCTATTCTCATAGCAAATAAATCCAATACCGCGTGCAGGCTCACCGCGAGCTTGCCGCGACTGCCCTTGCGTTTAGCGGCAGCATTTTCCAACTCGCTGTCGCTGTCTCTGTCGTTCGCCTTCGAGTGTATATAGCTTTGTCTCTTTCGCTCACGCTCCATGAAGCTCAAGTCGCGAGAGCGTGACAGCTGCGTGCAATGCAATTGCTATGTTATGCTGAAACTGGTGACTGTTTTATATACAGATCCTCTTTTTTTACAGAAATTTAGAAACACAAGCCTCGGCATTTCTATTGAAGTAAAGAAATTAAACTTACTAAATATAATATCTGTGGCAAAAACAGTCTTCAGTACACTATATACAAGCTTTTAAAAATATATATAATCAATAGATTAAAGCGCTTTAAAATAATGACAACCTAAATCAGCTAGAAGTTGGTAATTATATATGTTTAACCAAATAATTTGCCATGCAATGTATACGGAACAAATTCCTTTAATATTATTAGTTCGGAAAGCTATTGTGGCAATGCTAAGCTCTATTGATGTTATAATAACATGCAAATTAGTTAGCACTTAATATTAACGTTTCAATTTTCAATATAATTAAGTTATATGCGTTAGTATTTACGGATTAATGATAATGTTCTCTATTTCTAAACATTTATTTTATATTGTACGTGAAGTTGTTATATCGTAGATAATTACTTGTTATAATTGATAAAAGAAAATTGTAAGTAATTATTTGCTATTAAATAGTTTTAGTTGATCTTAATATTAGCTTTAAGTATGTCCTATTTAATGATGAATAATTGTAGTAGTGGTAGAAATGATTCACACTATTGTTTTTTCCTGGTATGCACCGCCTACCATTGTGATGTAGTTAATGCGTGTGTTATCTCATCATATAGTGCGCATTCTCACCTAAATTGGCAACAGTATCGTATTATCAACATACGAATGTTCTGTACAATGCTTTAGTCTCTCAGCTATCCTAGTCCTCTTTCCTACCATACTGGCAAGTGTATGTGAAGTTGCTATAATATCTTGTCTTATACATTCGTACCTTAGTATATGAAAGGTCTGCCTTGTGAGAAAAGGCGAGCTGTCTGTGCGCACGTCGACGCGCTTGAGCGCCATATGTCATGTCGTCTGCCTCTTCTACTGAACTGAATTCTCCCTCCTCTTCTTCATCAGAGTACCCACGTTCTATAGGACCAGAATTTAGTAATAAGTATAATAGTGAATTCAACTTCTCCTGATCACTATTAATATCACTTATATAGGTATTGTTTGACATTGACTAAATGTCGTCTCGACTGTTCGGGTCTTATTAATATTTAGCTATTCCCACCCACACAGCACGCTTATGATGTAACTTCTCGTAGATGAAAGAATTTTTATAACCGGATCAGTATTTCCACAAATTACTCCCTTCAAACCAACAAACAAACAAAGTTAAAAACTTCATATGTTTATTGTATTAGTATAACTAGTACGATTTATCAAGACATCTGAGGACCTATTCTATATGTCCCTGAAAGAAAATTCGAAAAATTTCAAATAGTTTTATACTTTTGTTCAAATCATACTTATCTGTGCAACAAAGGAAGTGACAGCTCCTCTTTTGCATTACAAATTATAAAAAAAACGCGTTTCTTTGAAGTCGTATTATTAGCATTTCGTTTTCGGAGAAGTAGAATAGACTTTCAAGTGTTATGTTAATTCGTACGAGTAGTATAGATATCATCTGTAGAACACAGAATGCTGTTAGAATAATAATTATCCAAATATTGTACGAGAACCACAATGTCACCGGGTTGACCCCTGATTTAATCAGCCCGAGATTCGATTTTATCAGTTTACGAACTACCCATCCCCATATACCTGTCTTGTCCACATGATAAATAACGAATTTCTGTATTCTTAAATCAATGAATATATAATCAGCCAGTCCTATATTACCTATCACCTCGATAAGATACAGTTTAGGTCTAGAACATGCTTACCCGTGATAAGCAAAGTGTTATTATTCTTAGTGTCATGGTCGACGGGAGTGGATGCCAGACCCGTGATGGTGAGTCTGGCAACGGGCTGCCCCGCCGCTGCCCCTACCTTGCCGCCCACGCTGGTAAGTTCTAGTTCCATATCCATTGAGCGTTGAAGCACCTAATAACAAAAGGTTATTATTACATTTTTAGTATTAGTCCTGGAAATGCGAAATATCGTTGTTGTATAGTGTTGATAGGATTAGACAAAAACCTAGGTCAGCTATCTAATTAATTGAGTTAGTTCATATACCCTATGCAGTTTTTGTGATTATACCGAAACGTTATAAAAATAAATCATAAGCCTGTTTTAATTTTCTTGAATAATCTAGCCGATCTGGGGCCACAGTAGTGGTCCGCCAAGACGAACCAAACAAGAAAGCGTTAGGGCACTACGACCATTTTTTTTTATGTTTGGATTAACCTAGATACATCAAATTTTCGGGATGCAATCCTAGTAACGAAATTATTAAGCAAACACAGTGTTATTAATAAACAGGGTTTGGCGTTGGAGTAAATTTACTCTGTGATTGCACTTTGTATTAGCCAAAATTCATATTATTAAACAGAGACTTAGCCAAGGGTAACCAAGTACTAGGTTCTACGGGAGTCATATTTACTGCTAGAAGGTACTCTCTGTATAATATGAATTTGGCCTTATACTAAAATTGCAATTTTAGCGTAATTTTACTCTGGCGCTAAACTTTGTTCATTAATAGCACTGACAAAGTTTCAATTGCCCTTAACACTCAATATACTCCCTGTTACCGGCTCTCGCCGTACTAACGTTAAATGAAAAATAAGTTCATGGCTTCATAATTTTCAGTATTTAGCATTTAAGCTATTATTAAATATATTGAATGAGTTCCTGTCATTCGCTAATTAGAGGAAATAATATAACTCCAAAGGACGTTTGCCATAATTGAATGAGTCACTAATTATTTGTGGTGGCTGGATGCAGTCATTGCGAAACTTAATTTGGTGACCGAAGTTATTGAAAAATTGCTCATTTACATATGACCATATTCATGGCGGCATGTCTACTCTAAACTGCTGGCAGAAGTAGAGTAGTAATGGCGCCTTTAGTTATTGAATGTGTAGTAATTTTTCTTCAGGATTCACCTATACTTTGCAGAATAAAAAAAAAATCAGGTTTAATTAACGAGTGTACGAAAGCATAACCATCATTGAAACATTTTATATATATATATATATATATATATATATATGTTGTAACATGTCCTTAGAAGTAATTTTAAACGATTATTATACCTGATCCATCCTTATAACGCCTTCGGCGAGGGTCTTGTAACCCAAAATTGTGCGATTCTTGTATTTCTTGCGCCTCTGCAGCATAATTTGTAACCTGAAAATAAAAATGTCCTTGATAAATTGTTTCAAAATTGAATAATAAAAATTAATACTATAAGATTTAATTGGTGTCATTTCATCTACAAAAGTATCGGCATCTACACCTTGAAAGTCAGATTCCATTGGTTGATCCATAGTAGCTTAACGAGTCCTTCAATCTTTTAGTCACTATCGATTTTTAGAGTAAATTTTATTTCTCCTTTTGTTTTCATATTTCTTTCTTTCTAGTCCATCATCGATATTCATATTTACATGCACATGAGTCACACCAATAATGAATGAGATGATAAGAATCTTATTTTTTTTATTTATAATGGACTCACTATTGATTCAACACAAGGGCATGAATGAGATGAGAGACCAGAAAGAACTTAGTCATTTACGCTGTTTCGCATTAAATAGGTCTGGGTTATATGCACTCGGGAATATAGACGGCGGCAGGGAATTTTAGGTTTCAACCGAGTGTCTTTCCAAATATTACTAATGCTTGTTCTTTTTTTATAGTCAAATGTTAAACATAAACTACATCCTAAGAGTGAAATAAATGTATCGTAAGAATTTCCAGAGAGAACACGGCTCAAATTTTTTGCCAACAAAATTGACAATGGCATATTTTTGAACTTGAATCTCATTGCACGTTTATTGTGTTTATGATGGGATATACACAGAAATCAGAAGCTTGTCGGTAAACTACTACCTCCTCAAAAAGCATTTTTAAAAATAACTCTTGAAAGTGATGGAGCTTTTAAATAAGTAAACTTTTTACGACCTCTGGCGATTAGTGGTTAGCATACCGGTTTTAAGGTATCGCCATTTACTTATGTAGAAAATAGACTTTTCTACATTGTGCGGGTCTGGGTGTTGTGGTACCTTCGTTATCTCAGATACCCAATAATACGTGGGCTTTAGCTACTCAACTTGGAAAGTAAGAAATGAATGTGATGATGTCTATTTTTTATTATTTATAATTATTATTACGAGTAAAATGTTGATTGCATAGCAAAGAAATCGATTACAACGAGAAATTAAATTATATTTGTTAAAGCTCAAAGCATAGAAGTACTTTAATAGTTGAACCCAAATAAGATTGCGAGCCGCGGGAATTGTTCTTAATATAGTCTACGGGAAAGCTTCCTGTGGGAAAAAATTCAATAATAATCTCTGTGCCTACAGGGTCTAACTAAATTCATTCATCTCATTTATAACAATACTAATTATTGGTTACAGTTTACAAACCTCGTATAAGTTAATTAACTGTAGTATTATAACGATAACAGGGTTATCTCATTCCTCAAACATTTTAAAACGACATTACCTTTAACCTCGACCTTAAAAATCACAGTTACATTTCAGATTACAAACTGACAAATAGATATATTCGTCGTCATAAACAATATAACAAATATATCCGTCCAAGTCAATAATATCCCACCAAAAACATACATAATACGAAAATGCACAACTCTCACTTCTTCTGCCGTTTGCCAAGTACTCCTAAATCTATGACAAGGATGGATAGCTGATCCCACAGACATATTTTTAACCTGCAATAATTCTTAAAGTACTTGTTCAAATTCAAATTCAATATTTAGATGTTATGATCACTGAAATTTTTAACTTCTATTTTACTCTACAGCGGGTCAAAAATGACTACGAGCAAAAAAAGTAAACAGGGTACGGCCGTGCCCTGTTTACTTTTTTTGCTCGACTTGGCGGAAGGACTTCCGTGCCCCCAGATTCGTCGTTCATGAAAATACGCTCCCTAAAAACGCTAGAGACTAGAGAAATTCGGCAGTCCCGCAGTCTTAGAAATCTTGAGTAGGTTCCGTAGGGAGTCTCATGAAAAAAAATAGATTTGCTTCTTCTCTGCTTTAAGTTATAGTAAAAATATGAAATTTTGTATTAAACATGAAGGACACACTCACCTGTTACCGTCTCGCTTAACAAAATGTGGATATTGGAGAGAGAAGCATAGATCTAACTCCACATCTAGAGGTGGCACAGCTATGTCGTTAGAGCGGAGTGTGCGCTTGCTGCTGTGCATGCGAGCAGCGAGGATAACAGCACCTGCTCCCACGCTGCCCGCCGCGCCACCACCCGTTTCGCCCAAAGCTCCGCAAACGCGGAGTCTGGTCACCCGAAGGGTGCAAAGCCTGTGAATAAAATTAAAATATTACCAATCTCTTATAATCATTATAATATATTTTACTATGGAGCTCATTCCTATCTTATTCGCATGGTTTAGTTTTGTTATTATTTCATGAACGTTATCAAAATATGAAATTATCATCAAACCGTTGATTGTCTCATTATGCTATCACATTAAGTAAATGCAATCGAGAACAAATGCTTGTAGAGATTTCTATTTATTATTTACGAGTTTTCGATAATTACTCAATTTAGGTATATACCAGTAAAAATCTATATCAAATTATAACGAGGAAAGATTGGATTGTTTTTTTTTGCATTGAAAACGTACAGGAATTACTGGTATGATTTTAAAAATTATTTTACCTATGGGAAGCTTGATGCTACATAAAAATATATCTTCTGTCTGCGCATTAAACGAAGCAGATTTTACGATCAAGCCAGCTGTGGTCATTTAGCTAAACAAAGCCATTTACTTTATTAAGGCCCTCAAACTCTCAAGCTCTAATATTTATTTCATTTGACGTATAAATTTTGATTTACGAGTTTCTATTCGGGATAAAATGAATACGCGGGAAATATAATTTGGAGCATTTTGCCTGAGGGGCCATATGTGTAAGTACAAATTGTCTGAGGCCTCGTGTGGGAGGAACCAAGCTTATTCCCGGGATAAAAATGAACGAACGAATAAAAGAATGAATCTCTTTTAGTCCGTTAAAAATGTTTAACATGCTTCTCATCTTATAAAACGATGTCTTGGCGTATAGAACAAAGTGAATATATTTAGATGCAGAAATGATTCTAAAATGAGATGAAAAGTAGGGTGTGCATTAACACGAAATATTCGGAAGCGTGCATAAAAATAAAATAAAGCAACTACAGAAAATTTCATAGGAACAGTATCAAAATTTCGAATAAACTACTGCTGTTATACTTATTGTATTAAGTATATAAGTCTTTAACTTAAAAAGAAACTCTAAATTTAATAGTAATTTATAAAAAATCAATTTGAAGATATATTTAGTAGGTAGATTCGTAGATATAACAATAGACCAGTATGTGAAAACCTGATATAGTATCCTATATTTACCATTTGGAAGTACTAATTCATCGGTGCACCGGAGTAAGCCGGTCGTATCGATATGAGTCCAACCATCCGACCAATAGGGTTGAAACAGATAGATGGAATATATACTTAAGTATAGATCAACTCATTCGCCAACCTTCCGGTTCGTTGGCTTTCCATATACGTCTGTTACTGTTTAAAGCTATATGTGCTATTCTAGTCTACTGGTGTGCAAATCGGTCATGAGAAGGAATGAACCTAATGGAAGTTGAAAAAAATCCATTGAAAGAGTTTTGTTCTATAACTAGCTGCTTTCCCGAGAATTCATCCGCATAAATTATAGCCTATTAATTTTATCTGCGTGTGATGTATCTTTCCATAATTGAATGAATTTTTAAAATAGGCTCGGTAGTTTCGGAGCCTGTTCAAACAAAAAATCATTTTTATCCTCTTTTATCAAATGTTAAAAATAATATTATAATTTTGTAATATAAAAATATTTAAATAGAACAAGTTTAGTCTAACATACTAATACTTACAGTTCAATAAAACAGGAAAGCAATTGCTATATAATAAAGGATTGTATCAAATATTAAGCACATAAAAATCTGCTACTATCAACCACTATTCAACAAGAGACAAACACCAGAGATACACAAAGGGGATGTTTTATTAAAAAAACTTTTTTGTTATAAAAAGTGTCTGTCCGTGCCATGATGAAGGCTATACGCGTCCATCGATCTCTTTCATCCCCGCATTTTATTTCGTTGGAAAAGCTTTCAGGTTTTTTCATCTTCGAAAATGCCATCTGTTTCATGAGCGTGAATTAGCATTTCCATTGTACTGATTTATTTATAATTTGTTACCAAAAATATACAAATGTACTTAGATGTTTTTAATTATTTTAAGTTTAAAAGATTTAATTGACATATACACACAAAATATCGCCCTATTTTACAAATCATTCAAATATCATTTGTGCTTATCCTATAAAATAACAACAAATTTATTTGACTCAATTCGTTTTTGCAGATTGTACTTAAGTAGCGAAAATCAGTAGAGTTTAAACTGTGATTTTGAGTATATGAGCGAAAAATTTAAAAATTGAGTTTATTCTTTATATTTACAAAACTTTATTTCGAATTATGAAAGTTCACTACTGCTCACCAAAGAGAATCCAATCACTGAACAGCCAAAAAAACGTTTTTGACATCTCCCGTCACTTTCAAGTTGGCGGATTTTCTAAAAATTCAAAGGCGAAATCTTTGCCGATAAAGTTAATTTATATTTATATTAGACAGTAATTATGATACGCTTTTCAGGGAACGCCGTCCGCGGTATCATTTACAGGTGATCGACGTTTTAAAAACAAACTAGATTATAATTAAATAAGTCTCTTGAATCTTCAAAGTTGTTACTTCAGACTAGCCTATTTAATTAAAAATTTATATACAAAGAAGAATTTTAAGTTAACGTAAGTCTCTCATTTAAGAAACAACCAAAGGACTTTCAACTCCATAAACCAATATAAAGAGAGAAGTATTTTCGGTCAGCTACCAGGTATCAGAATTGAATCAAAGCAGCAAACCAGACACGCCAGCAGCGAATCTAGGAAGCGACCTCGTGTCCCACCACACGCAAACAAGTATGAAAAGCCAGGGGAGGTCAGAAAATATTCCCCCTTTCATCACCCCGGCCAGGTAAACGACTTCTTTGGCATTATATTTCTGATTAAATTAATTATGTTTTAATTCAATTTACGTTATGTTTCCTGTTATGTCTACTTACATTGTAATGATGGAACATTGTCATAATAATTGACTTAATTTTAATAAACGTTTAATTACTAACAGCATATTTGTGATCCTTTGTTGGTTATAATTAATATTCAGGTCACGGATATCTTATCATATCAATTATATAATTTTGACAAAAGGTAACATGAGAGAGAGAAATTGCAAATAAATGTTAAAACAGACTGGAATGAACCAAACTGCTTCCTTGTAATCTTCCTGCAAACACTGCACATCTAATTTAGAGTTGAATATGTTTTATCATTAGGTGAGATATTAATTTAAAGACAGTTATTGAATAATACTACGAACGATGTAAACATTCATAACATTCATACTTCGATTAATATTCTCGTCTCCCTAAAATAAAGAAACTTTTTTTTTTTAATTAACCATGCAAGCTTGCTTTTAACGACAAGAAATATTAGTACATTCATACATTCCATATATAACGAGTAGATATTTAACAAGCGAACAAAGTGAACTTTTACCTTACGAATAATATAGATATGAAAACTCTTTTAAATACTTCATTCTTTATACGAGTAATATCGAAACCACAATTAAAATCATCTAAAATGAAACAGTGTCAATCAGATAGAAAAAGGATATTAACATAAGAAAGCAGGAGGACCTAGAACGTATTTCGAACAAAGGTTAATTGAATTGGTACAGATAAAAATCGAGTGAGTATTTGCTTTTATGTAATCCAACTTTCTCGTTAATGAAATCCTTGATAGAGCCTGAAGCATCGAGGATTTCATTAACAAGAGCTCAGTAATTACTTTCCTGATTACACTCACAGTTAAGTGCTATTATATAATACAATACAGAGTGTGAATCAAAATAAATTAGTCTTTGTTCATGTTCATCATTTTATTAAAATAAACTTAATTCAATATGGTGAATCTAATAAAGATAAAATATTAAGCTTGGCTGTTTTGTTGAGTTGGTCATTACCACTTTTTAATAGCGTCAATTAATGTTTCCGAAATATAAGTTATCAAAACTATTGTAGCTCTACCAGGTTGCTACAAAAAAAATATTTGTTTGTATCATGTCGAATAGTAATGTTATTACTTGTACCTATCAATTTTAAAATTAATATCGGTGCGCGCTGATTCGTTGAATGTTAGTTGGTTGGATCATCATACCCATCATCATTATCGATCAACAAATAGTATTTCGATAGCATAAAAAGTATAGACAAAATGCAATAGTAAAGCCTACGTATCAAAACGATCGCTATCACAAGAACATTGCAATATTGCATTAAATTTCAAAGTAGTTTCTATAATATGAAAATTTAACAGGAATCGAATAAAGGTGCAAATATTACAAGTCACGCCCACGATGATTGTAAATGTGAGTCACTTTGTTCAAAAGCTTCCGTTGTTTATTAAACAGCTAATCCCAGTTGAATATTTTAGAAGAAACGGTATTTTAACAAAAATGGCTTTTATTTATTTAACAAGTTCAAATTACGATTACACGATCAACGTTCGAGTAATCTATCAAAAAGGTACTAATATGAAGGTCACTTACTAATAATAATAACATAACCAAAACGAAATGAGAGAAATAAGCATAATGGTCTTGCCTTAGAGTCTGTTTAGGCTAGAGTTTATGCATATCTGATGGAATATAATGCTTATGTCGTAAGGAATCCGCATCCAAAAAGCTACCTTTTATAGAGCAAAGCGGAATGGGTGGTGGCGCGAGCTGATGACATCCTGAATTGGGGACGGAAGTGTTCCATTTGGCCGCTGACTTTTGGCTTGGCCTGCTGCGCTCTTGAGATGATGCATTACGCAGCTCCCAGGTTGATACTATTATTATTAAATGAAACGGTACAGTCTAAACATTTGCATAAGTTGTAAACCATCCCACACCATCAGTTCGGAATACGATTAGAGTAATTACACCCAGACCCATTTTCTATATAGGTATATATAAAAAAGTTGTCAATAACTACTTATAAAGCCATCAAAGCTGTGTTGTAAACGTTAACGAGTAAACTTCATGGGTAGACGACATTATTTAAAAAAAGAAGACAGTGACGAACCTGTAGGACAGTCAAAGTATTCCAAGACTATTACGATATCAAGATGTTTAACTTCATAAAAAATAAGTATACTTATAAGTACTAGCTAGGCTATGATAGGTAATAAGTGGCAAAATTGGGTAATGAAAACCTATTATATATATATATATATATATATATATATATATATATATATATATATATATATATATACAGCATTAAACACAATAAATGTCGCCAGTTCAATATTATAAAGGACTCAAGTTTTCACTCAATTATAGTGGAGATGCTGACTGTAAATATTTCTCAAATAGAATGAAGACAAAAAAAATACGCTACCAGTAATATATTATATAGCTAACAATATAAAAATCTTGTTTTCCTTCTTTTGTTTTTGACAAACGACGAACAGTTGTGAAAAGAACGACGAATAGTCAAAAATTCGTTTTAGAGAATATAGCTACTTCCACAAGATAAAGAGGGTGATTTACGGGAATTAAACGGCCATTGCGAGAAGGTTTTACACATTTAATTATAATGAATTGTGGAGAAGTTTACATAAATAAAAGAAAACGTCGAAGTAAATTTCTTCGTTCATGGGAATGGCCTTGGCGATGAGGCATCTATAATAAACGATTATTAATAATAACGATAATAATAATAACATAAATAATAATAATAATGATTCTGAAAAAGTTTGTTTTAACTTCCACTTTGAATTGCAATATTAAAGGTCATTTGTTAATAAATAGCACTATTTAAAAGGCTTAAAAGGGTATGACGAGTTATCAGTTTGCGACAAAGAAATTTTACCGAGAGGGTAGAGATTTAGTGAGTAAATTATGAGCAAAGTTTATTAGCGCCACTTCGCAGCTTGAATTCGGTCCATTATACAGAAAGCTATTCTCCAGAAAGAGATATTTACGTCTAATAAAAATTCACACTGAATCATAAGAAGAATATATCAAGTTATAGAAGTTTTCATTTTAGCTTAGACACGTTATAAATACAGTAACAGATTCATTAGAAGAATTAAAGATATACTATATTTTACGACTTACCCTGTATGACAGGTGCGATTTATTCCCGATTATTTCTTTCTTAGGTACGATATGGACCGTTTCGGAATGGTATTTCGTGGCACCCCTCGTCAAACTGACGTTATAATAGTGGCAGGAACAGTAACCAACAAAATGGCACCCATATTTCGCAAAACCTATGACCTGATGCCGGAACCCAGGTGGGTTGTGTCAATGGGCAGCTGCGCCAATGGAGGTGGATACTACCATTACACGTATTCAACGGTACGCGGCTGCGATAGAATTGTGCCGGTAAGATATAGCTTTGAAACTAAAACTACATTACTGCCTGAAAATTAACAGTATCTGCTTACATTGAGAGAAAAGTAGCTTCATCATCAGAATAGGATTTCATTAATTTTATTAGATTAGAGAGACCATTAAAATACTTTAGTATTATACTTTATTATTATCCAATGTGATGACATTTTTTGAGGGAATTCGTTACCTATACATATATTTTATTTATAACCTAATAATATGCAACCTAATCAACTCGAAGGCATGCCAAAAATGATCTTAACGCTCCTTTATTTTGGTTTGAAAAGCATCAATGTTTGATAGTTTGGGACAGAGTTGTTCGTATGAGTAAATAAAATTGTCGTTCTTACCATTTTAAAAAACTTCCTCAGACTTTATTTAACAACGAGAAACATATGAGCCATAGCTGTTCACCCGTTTTCAAGATTTGTGTTTAACAACATATTTAGCGATTCACTTAACCTAGATAGATTATTAACATTATAATACATTTTTATTATACAGGTGGATATTTACGTCCCTGGTTGCCCTCCAACTGCGGAGGCTCTTTTATACGGAATGCTGCAACTTCAGAAAAAAGTCAAACGTATGAGGGTCGTTCAAGTATGGTATCGCCATTAAATAAATGCGTTTTAGAAAATATATATCTTTTATTTTTAAATTTGGCGTAGCTATAGTTAGTTAAAGGATTTTTATAACCATATCCTATTTCTTGGGCATTATTGACATATTTATATTCTGGACACTTGGGACGGGGACTATTTGACTATTTTCAGAGTAAAATGACAATCAAAATACATATTTATACATAACTGGCTTAAACGCACAATGAAAATAATCAAATTATATTAATACTAGCTTTCACCAGCGGCTTCGCCCGCGTGGACCCTAGGGAAATGTTAAGTGGGATAAAAAGTATCTTATTATCTAAGTCAGCTAATACTCTATCTGTATACCAAATTTCATCAAAATCCGTTTAGTAGTTTCGGCGTGATTGACCGACAAACATCCAAACAAAGAAACTTTCACATTTATAATATTAACTAGCTTTCGCTTGGTTGCCCCGGGCTGCGAGCAGCCCGGGGAGGTAATGAGTAGCTGGTGGAATCGGGGCGGTGGGGTTTCAAGTCCGCCTATTGTTATGTCGGGTTTACAGTTTGAAAATGCGCAGAAAAGGTCAGTTAGTTCTATCTTCAAATAAAAGGTGTTAAAGGACACAAAGCATCATACATCAAAGAAAAAGTGTTGCCAGTTGACACTTAATAGAAAAAGGAATATTCAGTTGAAAAACGCAAGCAAAACTTAAAATAAATTTTATATAGATACTTAAAATAAGTTTTGTCTTTTATTCTCTTATTCTTATTTATTAGTAAATTACTGTATAATATTAAAAAACAATCAAACATATATTTCCATCAGTGTTACTATCATTAATTAATCAATTAAATGTCAATTGCATTATTACATTACATTATATATGTAAGAATTATTTATTAGATGAAAAGGGAACCGATGTCGTGGCCAGATATTAGAATAGATCAATTCACGACGCGATGGGGTTTTAAGTCCGCCTTCGTTTCAGAATTTGAGTTTTTCGATTTTTTTTGTTATGTTTGTTTTATAGTTTGAAATCGCCTACAAAACGTTAGTGAGTTCTGTCTTCAAATGAAAGGTGTTTAAGCACCATACATCAAAGAAAAAGGGTTGCCAGTATACGTCTAACAGAAAAAGAAATATTCAGTCGAAAAACGCAAGCAAAACTCTAAATAAATTATAGTCTCTTATTCTTATTCAATAACAAGTTTATATTTAGTATATGATAAAGGATCGAGTAGATATTTCCCCAAGTGTTACCTTAACTAATACACCAAATAAATAAATGTCAAATTTCAAACTCATACCTACGTAGAACATTTTCATTTTGAATATCAAAAGAACATGTTTTCTCAATAATCTTAAAGTATAGAAAAATATATTTTAAGTATTAAATATCGTGTCAAAAATTGAATTCTCTTTTCTCCATACTTACCTATGTGAAAGTACATACCTACACAAATGGTCCATATATACACGCTATAAAGATCCCGAATTGTCAAGTCCATCGAAATCAAAATTGAAATAAAAATGGTCACAGCATGGCTGGATTGCTCAAAGTCAGCCTTACACGATATCTTTTAAATATTATAAATCAAATGTTACCATCAACAAAAGCGATTCTTTTCTGGCTTTGTTTTTCATACACTAACCTAACCTAACCCATATGTTATAACAAACCTATACAAGTTTTTGTTGCTTTAAGTACTTATTGTAAAATTCTTGAGCATAAATGAGTCGCTTGTGGAATCGGAGCGGTGGGATATTAGGTCCGCCTCTTGTTACGTTTACAGTTTGAAATTGCCTAGAAAAAGTTAGTGAGTTCTATCTTCAAATGAATTATGTTTAAGTACACAACGCACCATACGTCAAAGAAAAAGGGTTGCCGGTTTACACTAAATAGAAAAAGAAACATTCAGTTGAAAAACGCAAGCAATACTAAAATAAAATTTGGAATAGATCGGCTTGTAGTCATTTATTCTCTTATTCTTATTCAAAAGTAAGTTAATATTTAGTTAATACAGGTATTGGAGTTTTAAGACCGCCTCTTGTTATGTTGGGTTTACAGTATAAAATTGCCTAGAAAAAGTTAGTAAGTTCTATCTTCAAATAAAAGCTCCTAAATTACGCAATACATCATACATAAAAAAAAGATTGCCAGTTTATACGCAATATAAAAAGAAATATTCAGTTGAAAAACGTATGAAAACTTAAAATAAATGTTGTATAGATCGCCTTGTAGTCTTTTATTCTTATTCAATAGAAAATTTCCAAAAAATCACAGTATCAAAATAAAAACTGGTCATAAAGTTCTATAAAGTAAAAACCGTAAAAAATTATACATTTTCTAGCACACTTATAAGCACATTTGTTTCAGAGATTCAGAGTAACATTTGGTCACAGTTCCTTAACCGATTGACCAGGTCTCCATTTATTATGGCTCGCTTCGCTTGCTTTTTTTTTTGTTTTTTTCGCAGTTCTAATCTAACCGATTGACCAGGTCTCTATTGATGGTGTCCTTTATTGCTCTCTTCGCTCGCATTTTATTTTAGTCATGGTTCTAACCCTACCAATTAACCAAATCTCTCTTAACAGTTGCTCCTTATGGCTTGCTTCGCTCGCTTTTTGTTTTAGACACGTTGCTAACATAATCGATTGATCAGGTCTCTCTTAATGGTCTAGCATTATAGCTCGCTTCGCTCGCTGTTTATTTTGGTCACAGTACTTTAAGCAATTGACCAGGTCTCCCTTTATTATGGCTCGCTTCGCTCGCATTTAATTTTAGTCACAGTTCTAACCTTACCAATTAACCAAATCACTCTTAATAGTTATTCTTTAGGGCTCGCTTCGCTCGCTTTTTATTTGAGTCACAGTGCTAACATAACCGATTGATCGGGTCTCTTTTAATGGTCTCGCATTATGGCTCGCTTCGCTCGCTCTTTATTTCGGTCACAGTCCCTTAAACGATTGACCAGGTCTCCATTTATTATGGCTCGCTTCGCTCGCTTTTTGTTTTATTCCCAGTTCTAATGTAACTGATTGATCAGATTTCTATTGGTGGTGTTCTTTATGGCTCGCTTCGCTCGCATTTTATTTTAGTCACAGTTCTTACCTTACCAATTAATCAAATCTCTCTAATTGGTCACTCTTTATGGCTCGCTTCGCTCGCTTTTTGTTTTAGTCACAGTTAATCCAACACACTAATCCAACCGAATGACAATGTCTCGCTCGCTTTTTTTTTCTGGCGAAAATATTGGAATTTTTTTCTCACCACGTAAAGATTGAGTAAAGATACACAATCGGTCTGTATATGCTATAAAGCTCCCGAGTCGCCAGCTCGGTCAGAATCATTCTGAAATTTATATGGTGATTACTATCAGTGTTGCTAGTCGATCACTCAAATTATTCCATCAATTATGTTATAAATGCAACAATAAAAATTTTGTTAAACAGGAAAATCATTGTAAAAAAATGATTTAATATTTTTCATAATAATATACATGAAACTTTCTCAAAAATCCCAGTATCAAAAAATGTTCAATTTTTTTTTCATCTGGCAACACTTCAGCTGAAAACAAATTTTTTGTTAAAATTATTCGGAAAAATATTACCAAAAACGCTAAAATCAGCTCCATAAAGTGAAAGTCGTAAAAAATGATCAATTTTCTAGATAATATGGTCGCAGTTTAAGCCGCCATCTTGAATTTTGTAAATTGAATCCCATACCGGTGTAGCACACCTATTAGCACATCCTACGCAGTTTTTATTATTTTCCTAGCGGCTATAATGACTGCGCTAGAGTCCAAAACGTGAATAGTGAGCATTAAATATTCAACCCGCCGTAGCTGCCGGGGTTGCCAGGTGTAGACGATGAAAATGGTCAAGTGTGATTTCGGGATGTGCCCTCATTCGACGGATACCAATTTTCAAGTTCTAAAGTTGTTCCTTTGACAGTTACAGTTTTTGGGGTAAATCTCAAAAACTACCCTAAAATCGGGTAATTTTTTTCCACCATATGAAAGAGTTCATACAGATGCACAATCGCTCCATACATGCCAAATACCTTCGGGGTTGCCAAGTCGGTCAAAATCGAGGTTGAATTTCAGACGTTGTTTGCTCTCAGTGTTGCCAGTCGATCGTTCTATTTTTTCCATCGGGTATCTTGAAAAGTTAAAATTAAAATATTTGCATTGAAAAAAATTCAAAATTCGACAAAAAGTGTTTCCTCAAAAATCTCATAAAGTATCAAAAATTTTCAAGATTTTTTTTCGCCTGGCAACACTTTAGCTACTTGCCTAAAAAATGTTTCCCCGGAAGTACTCTGACAAATGTCGCCAAGTGCGTCAAAATCGGCTCGACGTGGTGACGATACCCAATTTTTCGGATAAAATGGCCGCTGGTTTGGCCGCCATCTTGAATTTTGAAAATCCGGCTCCGTACCGGTGTGGCCAACTCGATAGCGCATCCGATGCAGTTTTTACCGTTTTACTAGTGGCAACACCGACTGCGCTAGAGTCGACAAAGTAAAAAATGGGCAAAATTTTTCAAATCGCCACAGACACCAGGGTTGCCAGGTGACGACGATGAAAATAGTCAAATGTCATTTCGGGGAGTGCCCTCCGTCGAGGAAAAGCATTTTTGAAATTCCCAAACGGCTCCTTCTACTTTTCAACTTTTTGGGGTAAATCTCCGAAATTACCCTAAAATCGAGGAAAATTTTCACCTCATACAAAAGAGCCAGCGGAGACTCACGACCGGTCCATACCAGGCGAAGAGCTCCGATGTTGCCATGTAGTGCTAAAAGTGCGTTTGAATTTTTCGAAAAAGTGAAAAAATCACAAAATGGCAGCTGCCACCGCCGCCATATTGATTTTCCCGAGTTTCATAATTTTCCCATAGTCACGACTATATTTGGCGCGACACCTCATTCACAGATTTTCTCCGCTGGCCACCCAGGTTCCCAAACAATTCGGGTTATGAGGGCATGTCGAAAAAAATGTTTTCTACCGTGGTGCCCAGGGTTGTCA